TTAGATTCTCGAAAGCTTCCTGAGCTCTTTCATTCTTTTCGAACTTCTTCCGTTTGTTGCGCATCAATTGCTGCATTGGGTTCACTTTGTCTATGAAATCACGGTAATAATTGGCAAATCCCAGGAAGCTCATGAGCTGTGTGTCCGTTCTGGGGGCCTTCCATGTTAACATGGCCTCCACCGCATCTGGATCCGGCCACACGCCATGCCTGTCTGCCATTCTTCCCAGGTACTTGATTGAGTCCCTACGGATCTCACATTTCGACGGTTTGCATTTCAAGCCGGCTCCCTTCATGCAGTCGAGGACCTCAACGAGTCTGTCAATGTGATCTGCTAAGATGGGTGCCGCTATGACCACGTCATCCACGTAGCAATTCACGAGATTCTCGTACTTCTTTGTTACTCTGGTCAAAGCCTGAGCCATCAGTCTTTGAAAGGTCGCCGTTTCTTTGCACAAGCCAAAAGGCATCCTCTTCCACTGGTACGAACCCATCTCACATGCAAATCCAGTCTTTTCTCTCTCATTCTTTCGCAGAGGAACCTGCCAGAAGGCAGAACCCAGATCCAGTGTAGTGAAAAACTTGTCATCGCCAAGTTTCGCGAGGCTCTCATCTACATGTGGTATTGGGTAGGCATCCTCTAAGGTCACCGCGTTCAGGTAGCGAAAGTCGCAACAGAATTTTAGCTGTCCCCCTTTCTTTTTAGCCCCTTTCTTTCCACAAGCTCAAAGTGACTTTGAGGGTTCTATCATATCGTATTCGAGCAACATTTATATTTGCGCTCGGCACGCTTCCAATTTATAAGATGTCATGTGCCTTGCGCACTCCCTGTGGGTAACGGCGCCTTCTTCTAGTTCGATTTCGTGTTCGACGAAATTACAACAACCAATATCCGCCTTATGTTTTGAACAAACGTCCGCGTTTCGATTTAAAACTGCCTTTGGCGACTCAGACTTTCACTCACCTATCTTAACTCTCAAGTGCTCTATCTCTGGCAAAACTGGTTTGTCAGACTCTAATTCATATGACGAGGAGCGTTCAGGAAAGTTCGAGCAACTTGGCAAGCCGTCATCCGTCTCGGATCTCATTGAAAATATTTTATTTATAGACTTCAATTCTTTAATCCTCTTTAAGACCACGTCTTTATTCGCATAAAATGGACTGTCCTTTACAGGATGCTTCTTTAGGTCTGGTGTTTCTTCATAGTCCCTTATCATCGGAAAAGCGTAGTCACGTTTCCTTCGATCGAAACCGTTGTGTCCAGTGTATTCAACAATACACTCACACAGCCCGTTTCGTGTTACGGAAAAGCTCCGGCCTAAAACCAATGAACTTTGACTGTTTGGGTTGGATACCTAGCAAACCTGCTTACTATCACTCAATGAGTTTAAATTTCTCATCCTAAAAATCGCTACTACTGCCTGCCCGGGCTGTAGTTTTACTTTTCTGTCTAAAAAAGTAGTACCTTATTTTCATCAGTTATTCTGGTCGCCTTACATACTTCCTGTCTGGGTTCCTGATCCTTATCAGTCCATTATTGAGGTCGATCATCAGGTAAAGATTCCTGGCAAAGTCGCGCCCCAAAAGAACTGATCCAAATCGTCCAGGTTCTCCACCACGGAAAAATTCATCCAGAGATTCTGTCCTACCATGTGGAGGTTTTTTATTGGCGCTCTCTCCAGCACGTAGATCGGTCCACGGTTAGCGGCTGCTAATCATAAATTCCTTGATGTTAAGTCGTCCCTGGTAAAGCCCATTCTTTCCCATGTCTTTATCGGCATTGCACTGACCACTGCTCCTGTGTCTAGAAGTCCTGTTTTCGATCTTTTTTTCATCGGTGTTTAGCAGATGTGCAGTGGTCCAATGTGTATCCATTGTTCCATCATGGCGTCATGACCGATTCTACGAACCTTCAGATCTTCCTGACCCAAACATATCTGTCCTATTTGGTCACTGTCTGTTGTGACGTAGGTCTTGGTATACATGCTAAACCCATCCACTATTAACTTCACTTGATATGGTCCACCTTTGTTAATAATGCTCGCACAGCTCTCGATTCAGTGCGTGGCTCTGTTTGTCTCAGATAATCCACATATATATCCATATGGATCAAGGTAAATGGATCAAGTTTTCTTTTGAATAATTTTATTTTTTCTTTTTTGGAGTCGGTCGTATGTTGTCGATCATGCCTAATTTACTAAATTGATGATTTTTCTTGACTCGATTTCTAACTTACTTTAGGAACTTTTGTGATCATAAAGTTTTCAAAACACACCACCCACAAAAACGACACTAAATTAAAAAGAAGTAAAAAACAATTTCTAATTTTTTCAATATGGTCGGAACATTCTGTGCTACCTGCACAGCAACCGGTTTTCTTTGTTTGGTTTCCGAAACAGTTTATTTTCTCTGCTTTCAAATTGACTTTCGAAAAACAAAGGTTTGTTCAGCTATAATGAGTTAATATAAAGTAACTGCCAAAACTAACTGCCTTGAAACAACGTATGTCGCCAAACGACTCGAAAACGGCAACTCTTGAAGACTTTTTGATATAAAACAAACGTTTTTGTTCAAAATTTTACTGCAGACCAGCAGAATTTAAAAAAAACCCTTAGCGAAAAGTCACGTCGCAACTTGACTTAATAAAAAGCAGAAGTTTGGAAACAAAATTTTGATCTTGATGTCTGATGTTGAAACAGGCAAAGCAAATTACGTATCAGATTTGGTCGAAATCGAACAAAGTCAAGCAGAAAAAGTTATGAAAAGCCATGAAATGAGATTATTTAAAATTAATCATAATAATAATAAATTACGTCATGTATTTTTGTTTTGCTTTTAAAGAGATGAAAAACAAGCGAAATAACCAACAGCTATTCAAAGCATCAAAATAATCAGAAATATTATCAGCTCAAACCTTCATATTGTGAAAATTATAATTGCGAGGATGGATTTTTCTCAGAAAAAACCGAACCGAGAACAAATATTTGACCACTTTTATCGAAATTAGGAAAGAAATGCTGATTTAATCTGTTATATTATGTGTTTAATGGGTAGCCGTCATGTTTTAGTTGCCAACGAATAATCTTTTCCCGACTGTAGATTTTCAGTCGATGATTTAACTAATTTTTCCTCACTTTAGTAGCAACTTAGTCGGAGCTTGGGTCCCCCTCGGCCTTGATTATTTTCTAGTCAGTTTATTATCAGACTAGAACAAAAGTCAGTTTAGTCAGTTTAATATCAGATCTTTTTATTTAGTAAAATGAATAAAAATTATAATAACTCAACTCGAAAAATGGAAGCAGCACTGAGTCCTACTTGACAAGTCATGTTAGAGAGGGCAAGTAGACAAAAATAACTTTACTAATAAAGTGTTTTAGGTGAAACACTTCAGACGCTTTAGCCGGCAAGTCAAATTCATGATTTTTTAATTAAGAACACTTGACAATCCTTAGCAGTGTACCGTTTTACTTCACACAATCTTCGAGAGTAAAAAAACTTTTTTGACAGACATCTTAGACCACGATTGAGATACAGATGATCTGATTTCAATTTTTAAGGAAACTTTTAGACGAACTACTCTCCGAGAAAGTTTTTACATGTTGTATTCCTTAGTTGGCAAGTCAGATCAGGGCAACATAGTATGAGTAAGCCGGAAATTGATTCATGGATAGAGTGATATTGCTGAAAAGAACCCATGATTTCTGTGGAATTGTTGAAAAAAGTCCATGAGTAGAATTGATAGTGCAAAAATAATAAATGGCAAAGTCAAATAGTCGGAGGTTAATAGGAGGAAAATGCATTGACATGAAAAGATAAATCTGAAACTCCGTAATTTAGCTGCCGTAATTTATCCCCCCCCCCCATTCCGAATACTTTCCGTGGCCAATGTTCGGAATATTTGGCGCTCTGTTATTTCACCAAAAAAGTCATAAAAATTGCTCAATTATTTTGAACTCTTCTGGACAAAAACGTGAGTTATTGACTTAATTTATTCTTTAAATCTATTATTTATTTAAAATATTTAATGCGCTCACTGTGTTCTATTTTTTGCACAACCATTGTATTTTTTATAGCAATCAACACATCAATTAGTGTTGGGCATTTCAAGAAAAAAGAGTTGACGTTTTTTCGATTCCTTTATCGTTTTTTTTTCAAAAAAAATAAATTGAGCTAAATTAACAGGGAAGCAGAATAAAATTGAATAGTTTCCCTGAAACAGAAATTTTTATTTGTTTGCATAGATTGCGTTTCTGCTTTATTGATTGCATGCATTCAAGAAACTCTAACCTTAAATTTAAATTCACTCTAAAATGTAGTTTTCCGTGACAATTTGGGTGTCTGCAAAATAGGAGAAAAAGTATTATATGTTCAAACTATTGGTCTTCAAGCAAGCGTCAAATTTACACACCACTTCTATACTGTCGTTTCAGGAAATCTGCTCGAAATATTCAACTAACCAGCAAACTCCAATGTCGACCGGGAAAGATCAAATACGTGCCATAAGCTAGTAAGCTAACCAACAAGTGATTTAAACTATAAAGCTCTGAATTTCATTCCAATCGTTATATATTCCATATACTTTCAGTTTGCGATAGAAACTAACCAGAAGAAGTGAAACTCCTCAAGGAATCAAATTTTCCCCAAATTTAGAGTGTTCCTACTGACTACGTCACGAGAAATTAAATCGAAAACTTCGATTCAGTCGAATGAAACAATGGACCTTTTGAGAGCTTGTCAATTCTTTTGACTAATTCTTCTTTTTAGTTTTCAAAATTAAGATTGACAATTTTTCAAATTGTTTCGAGTTCAATTAATTGTTCCTTCTTTAATAGTCAACTTCTTTAATTAAAAACTAGCTTTATCGATTTTGTCATAAATTAAACTGACGATTTGATTACAGAGCAACATTTATTTTTTGTTTTTCCTTTCAAAGTTGCACTATTTTCATCGTGTTTTTCATAGTTCTTCTAAAATCGAAATTATTAAAACTTATACAACATCTTACTTTATTTTTCAAAACATAGGGCGTTTGTTATAGAGTTCGGGAAAGCAAAATGGTTTCTCGTATTTTCATTCGGTTAATTTTTACCCTCACTTATCTGACGATTCAAACGACAAAAAGCGAAGACACCGAGCAACTCGTGAACCTTAAACAGCGGGTCGGAAACTTCAGCGAGCTTCTCAACCAGAAACTGGAACCGCAAATCCGGCTCGAACTCAGCATGGAAAACATCAACTGGAAAATTGTCAGCCTCGAGGATATCATTTTGACGAAGTTGCAGAATGCCGAAACTAGAATCATGGGCTACATGAACAGTTTCCAAAACCGACTTAACTTCATTTGCTGGACTTACGAAGAGGGTTTTGTACCTCTGGACTCGAAAAAGAAAATAAAAATGCCAGACTTCATCAATGGATCGTGGCTCTCGCCAGTGGAAAACAACTCGGGCATCATTCTCCATTACAGCCCGGAGTAAGACTTGTTTCTTTTTAACTTTACTAAAGTATATTGGTCTTTCCCGGGTCGAGTTTTGCGATTTATGTTTCGACCGAGGCGCGTCGAACACATGTCAGAGTTCGACCGAAAATCCATAGTCGAGAAGGTACTAAAGTCAAACTCAAAGTCGAAACATAAAGTCGAGTCGGCCGAAACATAAGAGCGAACACAAAGTCGAAATATTAAATCGTAGACAAGTTCAAACATAACGTCAAACACAGATTTACACCACAGTTGAAAGATAGGGTTGAGTCGATCAAAACAAAGTCGAACACAAACAAAAATTCATCAAAAATTTGATTAAAAAATAAAACTTAAAAAAACTCAATGTTTTTTTCAATTTTTTTGCAGAAATTTTTTCATTTTTTTTTGAAGTTTTTGATTCCCATAATGACACTAAAAGTTTCCAAAACTAACTTAATTGCGTAAAGTTAAGTTTTGAGGGCTTAAATTGAGTATAAAAAAGCTGCTGTAAGCATGCTGGCTCGCTTTCTTTGCTCGATTTTGAAATGAAAATCAAAAATCTTAGACCGTTTGAGAACGTTTTTTGAAAAATTTTTTCAGTCGTTCAAGTCACAACTAAAAGGGCTTCAATTTGGTGTATCATTCGATCATTCCGATGATATCTTGAGATAGCTCATTTTGTGTTGTAGAAAACAAAAAAGAAAAAAAAACTAAAACACACCCGAATACAAAATTCCTCCCCATTTTTCAAACAGTCGGATCAAAAAAATGGGCTTTTTTGGCTGATGCTAACACATAATACTATAAAAGCGCTGGGCGTGACCTAGCCTTGACCAACGCTTCCCATTGATCAGGTTTTTTTTCGTGGTTGCGTCAAATTGCACTTAGTAGAGAGAAATATAATCAAATTGAGTCACAAGTTTATGCAATGGAACAAAAATTTTACGTTATATAGCTCATTTATTTAGCTCCTTTATTCAAGCTTTGATTGTTTTTTTTACTTTTTGTTTAAACGTGTCTGTCATTGGATTATTCAGTGCTAACTCGCACTGAAATTTGGATATTCTTGCTGCGCTCTGACTTTGTAAGGGGGGGGGGGGCTTTTTCCGAGCAAAATGAGATGCCAAAAAAATATGACAGATAGGGTCGAGTGAAAACTGAAAAAATTGAAAAACTTTTTGTCGTGACTCCATCAAATTTGAAAGTTTATATTTTTGTTTTGCTCATGTGCTCTTTATGAAGGGATATACTACAAAAACGTTCCTAACTCAGTTGCTATAGCGAAACAAATTTCGAAGTGACGCTCAAAAAATATTACCAGAGAAAAACTCGAATCTGAAAATTGTTATAGAGTAGGTTCTGCTGATCTGCTGAGGGGGCACTGTACAAACTGAAAACTGAAGATACAGTAAAAACTGAAGTGACAAACTTCTCGCACAAAGTGACCAGATTTCGAACAAAATGGCCACAATATTTAAGCTCGGTGTGGCTTTTTTTCCTGTCGATTTCAATTTTTCGGGCCGCTGATTTTGACGGGAATTTTTTTTACAGAATCTGGAAAATTATTGAGGTCTTGCGCTTAAATTTAAAAAGATCTTTCATTTACCATCATAAAAATTAGGAGGCTTTGAAATTACCCAATTTGGTATAACTAAAAACGACATTTTTCGTGTTGTTAACTTATAGGCGGCGAAAAACATAAGAAAACACAAAATACATCTATTGCCTGGGAATTTTAAAAAAATTCAAATTTATTTTTCCAGAAACGTTCAATACTTTTTTCATCATCTCAAAAACCATTTGAAAGACGTTGATAAGCAGTCCGCATACTGGTTTGTTTTGCCCTAATGCGAGCATCATCAAACACGTCTGTCTGAAAAAGATTTCTGACAAAAAAGCTAGGACGTCAAAAGATATAATTTTTGACGCATCTATATCTGATTTGTTGGTAGTCAGAGCAAAAACTATGTATAAAAAATTCATAATTTATCATATTTATTTTAAATTTGTCATATTTCAGAATGCGACCCGCTTATAATGTTATGTGTATAAGACCGGCATTATGTGCGTGTCTGTGTCGCATTATGAAATGATATAAAGGTAAGACTATTATTCTTCCGACTTTCGAAGAAAACGGAATATTTATGCCCGGTGTGTGGTTTTTTTTTATTCAGTCAATTTTCACCGATCGAAATAACAATTTTCAACAAAAATTTTTATACCCCATTGAAGATATCGACTTCCTGAAAAAAAAAAAATATTTCACCTCCCGATCATTATTTTTGTAAAGTCTGGGGGTTTGGAAATTGCCAAAATTGCCTTGTTCTCGACTAAATTATGCGCGCTTTGAAGAGTTTATTCATAATGCTGAGAGCGTAACGCGAATTATCTATGCGTGGCGAGTTATCCCGCAAAAAAATCGTTCCCAAATTCAATTGAGGCTAGCTAATTGGTCGCAATTATTTTGCGTGAAATTTTACATTTTGATATGTCCAAAATGTATAGGTTTTCAACATTTTCTTTTCCCGAAAAATTATTCGATATGAATGAAGGGACGGTCGGAACATTCAGGGTTTTGCCCTGCTATACGAGCAGTCTTTAGATTAGTTAGATAAAATTTATAACCACTAGTAGGTGGGTAGTCGAATTTAATTCATTCAAACTGCCAAAGAGAGCTCGAAAAGGAATTTTGGCTGGCCTGGAAAATGTCGGCAAAGTATATTATTAACTTTTTAGGGTCACCCTTTTAAGGTACGGCGAAAGTTTAATTTCTGATTTGATCCCCATTTTGCACAATTGGCTCCCTGCAGTTTTTGAGAAAGTTATTTAGTTACATTTTCCTGCATGTCCTGTGTTCAAAAACTCAATCAATTATATTTTTTCTTATCTGAACTTTTTGATAACTTGATTTCTTAAACCGATGAATAACTAGCCTAATTGTTGTGATAAACTTATTAAATTGAAGCTGTAAATGATCATGACTGATATTCAATCAAACAATGTCTCCAATCCCTGATACCCAATTCAAACACCCTATCAGAAACCCATTTCGAAGCCGGATACAATATTCCCCACGCTAAAATACCCAAGGCAGACACCCCATCCCGAAGTCCAGCCACAAAACGAGTATATACAGTTCTGAGTCTCATCGAACAGTAAACTTCAGAGGATAAAAACCTAGTGCAGCTAATCCAGACAACCATCAAAGCATCGGTCAACGATATAATTCCAACTCTGTTTGCAAATCTGAAACATTAGATGAAGGAGTTGATGGCGAACATGATCAATATTGCGACAAAAGACATGAAGAAGAAACAAGTTCTCTCTGAAGTAAAAAAAAACAGCTATGATCAAAGAAAGACGCTGCAACCTCATAAGCGTAACTGAAGCTGAGTTGCTGGAAAGCTACAACAGAAGAAAAAACGTGCGCATTATCGGAATAGCCAGCAACGCTGAAAATGCGAGCCCATGAATCAGTAGAAGAGACGACAAATAAAGTACTGAACACTGCAAACACGATTGGAGCAAATATCACCGGCAGGATATATCAATTGCCGATCGACTACCAGGTCGAGTAAAAACAAAACCTATCCTTGTTCGGTTTTGCCGACGAGTTGCAAAAGTGGATCTCTTGAAAAAGAAGCGCCATCTGAACGAGAAAGAGAGCACAAAAGACGTTAATTTATTCAAAGATTTAATGAAGGCTAATTTAAACCTTCCTCAAACTTGATAAAAAACTGACGATCGAGATGCGGCGGCTGGTACAGAAAGGGAAATATCTTCTTCCAGTAACAGAAAGGATATTTATACGACAAAATAATCGGGCTCTATGAAGGCGGGCATCTACTTGACTATATTTTTAATGATAATATGATTTGCTTTACTGGTGTTTTCTACCAACCGAAGGCCCCCTCCGGAACGTAACATTTTCTGTGCTAGATATAAATGTTTGCTCTCTGAAAGGTCATCTTAATAAACTGGAAGCTTTAGTATACAGTCTTTTGTCTCCGCCTTCCGTTTTATGCTTATCGGAAACTTGATCAACAGAAAATGATGATTGCAAAAGCTGTTTCATTGACGGCTATATTAAGTTTATAATATACAACCGTAAAACTTGCGGAGGTGGGGTTGTAATACAAATACGCTCTGACTTTAAGTTTTTGAAATCTATACCCACACGCATCGAGGTAAAACGTTGTAGCGACAATTGAAAAAGATAACTATCAGTTTAAATTGCCACAATTTACAACCGTCTCAGCATAAATAAACTCGGTTCTATCGATCAACCAGATAATGTTCCGGAAAATAAACTTCTCGCCATCGTTACCATTTATAATCTGTGGTGATTTCAATATCGATATTTCTAAGAATAATCAGCTACCCAAAAAGTACCTGAGCTGAATTTTCTCATTTGGCTATAAAATAGGTGATACAAAAGCGAAAATAGTTACTGAAACAACAAACACAAGTCTGGATCAATTCAAATATCTAAATTTAACTCAAACGGATCACCATGTTTCAGAGTACCAAAGGTTTTCCGATCATTATCCGATCCTATTACAATGGACTTGGATCCTAAAACCGGAAAAAAATCAATCTTTTCGTGACCTACAAATTGTTAAAGATGAACAAGCATCTGCCATGCTATATTAGCGATTTGCAATCACAATTAAAAGAAACTGAAGGCGCAATTTGCTTAAAGACTGATACTTCTGCATCATTTAACAATTTTGCTGCAGTTTTTATTAAATTTACTTCATATTATGCACCCATGAGAATAAACACAAGTACGCAATTCAAAAAAAAACCGAAATGGTTCAACAACACACTGAAAAAACTTAAAAACTAAATGAAACAAAATCTCATCGTTTTTGGAAAAATTCAAATTGCGAGTGAAGCTGGAAAAAGAACATACTATCATAAAACATTTTCTGCCTGTATAGGAAACTCAAGACAGAGCGATTTCAGCGGAAAAAAAACATAAATGATACCGATCCGCCAATACTGGAATTGTGTCTGCAGCACTGCAATATTCCGTCAACATTTGATGTTGCTGAAAAAATTCAATAGTTTTTTCTCAGCAATTGGCAACCGACCTTAAAAAGAACATGGCTTGTCTACCATCAACACCTTTGAGCCAAGTTGAGCAATCTATGTTTATGTAAACAGTAACAGATCTCGAAGTTCTGGCAACAATCCATAATCTCGACAAAACATTCATCATCGGGAGATGACAATATCAAACAACATAGTAATTATATTATCGCACCTGCTACCGTTCCTTGTTTAACTTTGCTCATTAACAAACCCTTCCTGCAAGGTGTTTTCCCCCATATTCAAAAAAGTGGACCAATTCATAAAAGTGGACCTCCTAGTGTTCATGAAAACAATTACCGACCAATATCGCTCCTGATTGTCTGGAGTAAAATCTTTGAAAGAACCATGTTCACTAGAATCTAAAGTCCTCCGATGACCTTTCAATTAAACAATTGTGATTCAAAAACTGAAGCGGTTTGTAAGTATTTAAGGATGTACGTTGATTCAAAACTATCTTTTGTGTCCCACATAGACCATGTAAGAATACGATTGGCAAAACAATCAGGCATTGATTCAAAGCTACGATTTCATACATCTCGGTATCTACTTGTAGCTTTCTATCGCAGTAACATCATAACAACTATCCAGCATGGCATTCTTGAATACGGTTTTGTTGCAGGTTTTTCCTCCTTGATTCCAACTTTTATGCTTCAGAAAAAGATATTGAAAATTGATCTATTTTAGAAAACGTGGTGACCACTGAGAAGACCTTTTCGTGAAAAATCAACAACTAACAGTGCATGAACTTCATGTCTACGAGTTACTGAAAGTCGTACTACGATCAATAAATAACCTCCACGGTGAAGATTTTTTGAATAATTTATTCAGTTTTGAAAATCAACCTACGAG